ATCTGTTTACCATCTTGACTGGAAAATACTGTTATTTTGGTCAGTTTTTCAATTATTATTTGCTAATGTTAGTGAATGTTTACATTAGAGCGCACGTCCTACTACGCTGAAATTAATACGGGGAGCGGCTGGAAACTAGCGACCTCTCCTGGTTGGAGATAGTATTAACATCATAAACTGAAAGCTGACTTGCTTATGTTTTAAAATTGATCATCCGAGTCTAGATCCAGCGGGCCGTTCTAAAAGACACTGCGGGCCGCCAGTTGCCCATCCCTGAGATAGATGAAGAATTTAATTAAGAATCTACTTTTTGACTGGTATAAAGTGCATGTATTGTGACTAGGCCTACAATACGAACACCCTGACCTACATGGTTGTTGAAAAGAAATAACAAATATCAATGCTGTATTTTATTATTGATATTTTTGTAGTTCTTGCATTTCCATTGGAGAAATGAAGGACAGCTACTACTGTGAATGTTGCATCTGTTGCTTGTCTGAAAAAAAGAGGTACGCCCTCGCCAAAAATAAGGAAATCAACCTCATCTATTTGGAGCAGAAAAGAAGAGAACAGACAGAATTCAAATTCCTTCTATTAGGTGAGATGATTCTGTTAGTATTTCAATTAAAACTTGTTCACACAATCTCTTTCAGTTGAAGTAATCATGTGTGTTTATTTTTACTTCTGAAAAGACAATTAAATTAAAAACAGATGATTCTTATACGGGACAGATGACAGATAATGGCAAATTATAGTGTAAAGTTAAACTACTATTAGTAGGCACATTTATTTTCAGTCTTCCTGTTTGCAGCCAGGTTTCTAACATTAAGGCACATGATTATTTTGCTTTCGTTTAGGCACGGCAGAAAGCGGAAAGACAACATTTATGAAGCAGATGAAGATCCTTCATGGAAGCGGATACTCAGAAGACGAGAGGCGTAGCTACACTAAACTGGTTTTTCAGAATGTATTCCAAGCTATGAGTGCAATGACAGATAACATGAAGATGCTAAAGATCCCCTACTCCAACCCACAGAACGAGGTGATCAAGAGACCAAGTGTGTAAAGTAATTTTAGAGCCCAGTGATTAGTGCCATTTTATATCAGCAATCGTTTAAGGGTGGTGGAATTGCCAAATAATAATAATAATGTTATTATTTTTTTATTTTATTTTTTATGGATAATTATAAAAGATATTAAAAATGTTAATTATTAAATTATTTTATACATACAGTAAAAATAAATAATTTTTTATCTCTGTGTGCACTAATTTAAGAAAGACTGGATCATATACTGTAATGTATTGTCAAGTCTGATTAGGTTTGTGATATCCATAGATTTATGCCCAGTGGTTCCAGGATCTGGACATACATCAGATAACACAGCTGCAGAGAAGTTATGTAGAGGCTATTCATCATCTATGGGCAGACAAAGGCTTTAAGATTTGTTACAGACGGCGCAGAGAGTATCAGCTACTAGACTCCACTAAATAGTAAGTTTATTTCAGAGAGTTCCTGCCCTTTACTGACTACCTGCATTTTTGTTTATTTCCTCTTTCCTGATGCCAATGCATGCACTGAATGTTATGCAAATAAGGCTTTCATAATCAGTTCTGTGGCACATGGATTTTCAGTAAGAGTGTTTGAATTCTGTGTTCTTTAAAGTTTTATTGATGACTTGGACCGCATCGCAGCTGAAGGCTACATCCCAACACCTCAAGATGTTCTTCAAGTCCGGTTCCCCACTACCGGCATCAGTGATCATTGCTTTACTTTGGACAAGATGACTCTCAGGTACAGCAATGAACAACCAAATCCAAACTTTATGTGTAATAAAAATGTCTTTTAAACTAGAGTTGCCACTGTCTCTTAATCTACTCACACAAGCACGCATTAATGCGGGCATCTGTTCTAGTTGCGTCTCCAGAAGTTTGTTGTTTTATCTCCTCCATTTCTTTTCCAACAGTAAAAAAACGATCCAAGCCAGTGAAACAACCTCTCTATCTGTCTGTCTGTCTGTCTGTCTTTTCAGGTTTGTAGATGTCGGGGGTCAAAGAGGACTGAGAAGGAAGTGGATCCATTACTTTGACAATGTGACATCTCTCATATTCTTAGCCTCCCTCAGCGAGTACGACCGATCTCTAAAGGAGAATAACAAGGAGGTAAGTGTCTGCCTCTCTCATCATGTCAATTCAATTCAGTTATTTGTATAGCGCTTTTTATGAAGCATATTGTTTCAAAGCAGATTTACAGAAATACATCTCCTGTCCTTTCTGTGTAATATTGATAAATCTGTGCACTTTTCTTCTCTTTGGCTCCAGAACCGTATGGAAGAGAGTTTGTCGCTGTTCTACAATACCATCCATTCACGGTGGTTTGCTAATTCCTTCATCATCCTATTCCTGAACAAAATGGACATCCTGGCTGAGAAGATTCAGTTCTCAGATCTAAAAACATACTTTCCTGAATTTGAAGGTGATTTGATGCACATTAAATGAAGTAAAAGCAATGTATGTGTGATCTTGTTTGTCATAACCTGATCCGCTCTTTTCTTTCCTTTCCTCTGTGGTTTGGCGCCACCTTCAGGCAAACGTCAGGACGTAGGAGATGCCTTGCGGTTCATTGCACGGTTATATAAACAGAAAGCTGTTAGCAACATGTCAAAGAACTACAGAATGATTTACTCTCACTTCATCTGTGCCACAGACACCAAAAACATCCGGAGAGTCTTAAATGATGTGAAATACACTATCCTTGTTAGGGACTTAGGCACCTATTGTATGTTCTAATGAGCCCCAGACGCACCTTCATGACACTCGGCATCAGACTATAATATTGCTCTCAATGCTTATCCATGTACATTCAGAAACACTACTATTTTATGAAGGCACATTTGAATACTCTTCAACCAAATAAATGTTTTATCATTATTTATAACAAAGCACATACTTGGACTAAATGTAATTGTGTAAAAGTAAGTTTTCATTTTGCTTAATAAATCATCTATGTTTTACATAATAAACATGTAAATATTTTACAAAGGGAGATTTTGAATTGCTTTTTAATGTGATGAGGGGAAATTACTTCATAAATCCAGTAAAAATCTAGACACCAGTTTCTAATAATTAAAGTGGTTTGTTCTTGGAAAAGCAATTTATTTAAAGGGGTAATTTTTTAATTCTTTTATAATGATTCCTGGGGTGCACTTATAATCTTAGTATGGTTGTTTCATCAAAAACATAATTTAGATATCAATTGTCATTTTCTACCCTGAATTTAGCCCTCTGATGTCTGCTGTGAGACTCCAGTGTGAACACCCACTGCTATGATTGGCTAACATCTTTCATTATTAAAATGAGCATTACATGTGGAACTGTCTCGAAAACTTTTCCTGTGTTTTTACTATAACAGCCGCAAAGATGAACCATGAAAAGTGTTGATTATAGCGATATTTTTAGAACTACTCGCATTGCATCAAAGGTTGCAGCACTGCACTGTAGCCAAACACAGTAACGTCTACTGAGCACACGATGCAATGATTTCCTTATTGCAACAGAATTTCTGCAATCTTACAAATAATTTAATCATACAGTAACTAACACAGTGAAAACATAATGTAAATAAGAGACTCGTTGAGCAGTGCAAACTGTGTCACTGATTATAAAACGGGAGTTTAGGCGAAAATGCAGAAATCAAATCACTGATAGACTCCTGAGTAAAATAAGGTCTGTGGTAAACATGACTTGGCAATACTTGGACATTTCGCTGCACACACTCACACCTCAAACATTCTTATCTAGCTACTTATTAGAAACATATGTTTTTATACAAATAAACATAACTGCTTCAAAAGTTTCAGTATGTGTGCATGTAATTCACATTGCAGAATGAAACGTTATGTTTACCACAGATATCATTTTATTCATGATTCGGAAAACCCCATTATAAAAACCCATAAGAAATTTTGAAAGAACCAGTGGTGGTCTTCTGAGTTTTGATGTCACGGCTGCAGCAGTAAAAAAAAATAAAAATACTATGTAAGTCAATGGCTACCATCAACTGTTTGGTTACCAGTACTCTTCAAAATATATTCTTTTGTGTTTAACAGAAGAAAGAAACTCATACAACTTGAGGATGAGTAAATGATGACAGAACTTTCATTTTTGGGTGAACTATTCCTTTAACAAGCTATCTTCTATTTTTTATGGCAATAAGAACCCAGCATATTCTTGTAACTAAAAATCCACAACATCTCATGACCATTTACATCTATAACACAAAAACAGAGGATACATACATTTTCCACTGAAAATAGGTCATTTAACGAAAGCAACAAAAGTACATATTCTTGTAAATCAAAGCACATGCTTCAATTTAGAGCAGTTCAACAAATCCAAAACAATTAAATAATTTTTATATCAAAGCTAAATCATTCTTGGATGCCTGGATATACATCTTTTATTGTACTGCATTTTGTGTGTGTTCAACAGTCTATGAGCCCTGCCAAGAAACAAACAATTTTATGCTTGCATTTGGAGCGAACAGCAATTCCACAGCAATGACCTTCACAGCAGATATGCTTCACAAACAGCAACCTAGCTACACTCCAAAACATATCCTCCTCATCCTGGAAGTGAAATTAACATTATCACCTATTATTGTGGTATTATACTGGTCTTTAATTGACATATCTGCTACATTTATACAGTAAAATTATTAAAACCGACAGTAAACCATTGTTATGGTCAAAAGAACCCGTAATTAATATACAACTTCCCTGTGTGACAACTAGCCCTGTTCTCCTCTACGAACTAACCTAATAAAACAACACAATACTATGGAAAGCACTACTAGCATCAAATATAATGTCGGTCACTTTAAATAGTTACTATGCTTGGCATTGGTTCACTTCTGCTCTGCAACATACCCAGCATATTACACATTAAAGGCAGACTTTCAGGAAATGAAAGTGGTTTGTCTGTAATGACGGAGCATGACACAATTGACAAAAAAATCTATTTGGGAAATCTCCTTCAAGGTGGCATATCCACTGTTTATTTTGAGGAAGATGGATGTTGTTTCCCATTTCACTCCGTAGGTTTTACAAATAAAGGTGAGTGTTTCTCTTTGTCATGTTTACTGTCATGTCATGTTTTCATTGTTGTGGAATACATTGATGTAAAAGTGTATTTGTTGTCCATAGAGGAACTTTTCCATTTCCATTTCAGTCAGTGATTGATTTATCTACAATTGTGAGCTATTGTTCACACTATTAGTGGTGATGCTATAGGAGCCAATATCACACAACAGAATATGTACGGTTAACATGAATATCTATTTTGAGTGTAACATTTGGCTTTCATACATCAATTAAACGAGAAGTCCTAAGTAATACAAGGCTGTGGCCATGTCTTGAATATGGGGGACCCAACTATTTTTCTTGTTCTAGTTTAGGTTTAAGGATTAAACTTCATTACATAACATGTTCATTCAGAATATACACACATTCATTCTTAATCATATGCCTAATCTGTGAAAACAGCTCCGTTGTGTATCTTGTCACGTCACATTCAATTACAAATTAGTTTGCATCACTAGTTGTTATTGTCAATCATTTAAAATTCTTATTGTAAAACAATGGTCAAATATTAATTGTATAATTACTTAAATCTTACCTCACACTCTTTGACTGTTAAAACTGTGGTGTAGCGCTTTAAATCCACACAAAAGCCTGCCACCTAAATAAATGAACTTTTCCACGACATTCTATTTTATTGAGATGCACCTGTAATTGGCTCAATCATTTTGACATTGAGCGTGGTTAGACCGCTGAGTCAGCCAAAAATGTCAATTTAGGGAGCAAATTTGGCCGTATCTGATTACTGGGGGGACTCCTTGATCTCCTCAAAGTCTATGGTGCTTATAGCCCTGAATTAATATGGAGTAACTCAATTTTCAGAAAAAAAACTAATGGCCAGCTAGTTCGTATTATTTCTTCTCCTCCAACGAAAAAGTTCCAGAAGAAGTCAAATGCTTTGAAGCGTTGCGTGTAACCTGGCAACGCACAGAGTAAAAACTTGTCTGGATAAGCAAGCTCTGTAATCACTCGGCTCAAACTCCACTCCAGCTTCCCGCACAGTAGTTTAACAAACCCAAACTGCCAAATCTGCATTTAATTAATGATGAACATACTACATGCCCATTTTGAAAGAATAAAAAGTAATGCTGAATATTATAATTCGAAGAATTGTTTTTGTTTTTATAGTTACTCTATTTCTGTTGGAGAAATGGGGCATTACTACTACTGTGCATGTTTCATCTGTTGCTTGTCTGAAGAGGAGAGGAACGTCATTTACATAAATAACGAAATCAAACGCATCCTTGCGGAGCAGAAAAAAAGACAATGGAGAGATATCAAGGTGCTCTTATTAGGTGAGATGATTCTGTCAGTCTTTAATCACCATTTAATTCAAATTAGAAACATGCTGATTCATTTCAACTTTTCTCTAAAAGTGAAAGTGAATTTAATCATAGCATTAAATGGTGTGCCAGTAAATGTCATAAGGTGTTTGTTACATCATCTCTTGAGGGTAACTTCCTGATATGTGTTAATGTAAGAGCTGATTAGACTTGTCGTTCTGGTAACACTTTATAATAACTCATTAAAAAACATTATATAATACTTAAAGGATAATTAGTTAACATATATTCAAAGAGTTAGAAACATGAGATAATGTGCTTGTTAATGTTTGCTAATACACTTATTAAACATTAGATAATGTTCAAACAAGTTATTATGTCATGTAAGTTAAAATGCTTACAGATGTCATTAAACTTTCAATTCCATATGATCAAGCACTTATTGAAAATCTACAAATGATTTTAACAGATGTTATAAAATGATTAAAAGCTTGTGTTATTGCACAACACTTTTGCTGCTATTGAGGTGTGATACGGGTAAGGTTAGGGACAGGTTTGGTGGTGTGGGTAAGTCTTATGGGTAGCCTAGGTTAAAGGGTCAGGGGTCAATTTGATTAGAAGGGAACACAGTTCTATCTGTTTATATTACATTGTTTTGATAAATGAACAAGTATTTTCTTTTATTTATGATTCAAGGAATATTTTGTTTAATGATATACTGAAGAGTAATGTGAGTGTTGAGGCAATAAAAAAACATTTTTTTTCACCAAAATTACATCTGTTATGTCTTTAGCAAGCATTTAGCTGAAATTAACCAGCCACCCTTTACACAAACCTTGTTACATTAGCTAAAAGTCTAATGCCATAAAGATACTAAATGATTAGCAATCGTTTATAAATATTTACAAATGATGAATAGTTTCAACTTTAGATTGGCCACTGCAAAAACATAAACAAATGATTTTTAAAAATGATTAGTAAAGATGTATGAATAGGGTAACTTCAGGTCTTTCGGGACAATTTTTGCCATTGAGATGACTCTTCACGAAGGTATTTATGATTAGTAAACGTTTATAAACATTTGCAAATGATGAAGAGTTTCCACTTTAGATTGGGTACTGCAAAAACATGAACAAATAATTATTATTTGTAAAGATGTGTAAATAGAGGTCTACACCAAAAACAAAGACCATCAAATGAAGATCATATGAACTGAAAGTTTACTAACATTTGTAAGAATTTCAATTTACATTAAATAATCATATGTTAATCATTAGGTAATGTTTAGTAAGTTCATTAGTAAACATTAACAAGAACATTATCTCATATTTCTAGCCATGTGAATATATATTAATTAATGATCTGTTCAGCATTATATACTATTTGTTAATGATTTATAAATTAAAGTTATTATAAAGTGTTCTCAAAACT